GGCCTTTATTCACCCCCCGGGGTCGTGTGAGGCACGTTTCATTACGGATGCGTGCGCTTTATTTGACTACTTTTGGACTGTTAAACAAAAACACCCGCCTACTCCCATTCTAATGCTTGGACGAGCCAGGACAATTTTTAATATAACTCCGACTAGATTCATCTGAAAGAAGAAAGTCATACACACCTAGGATGCCTCGAGGGTGAGTAAAACACAGGCTAATTTTCATTTTTGGGTGAACTAACCCTTTAACTCCACTTTTTCTACAATGGTTAAACCATTAACTACATAAAATATGCATTTTCCACGCACGTGCTCTGGTTGCGTCCAAACCAGTCCACGTGACGTCACGATCGATGATTCTACCGTAGTGGGCAGAAAAAGCCACGTCACAGCTCTCTTCATAGCAACAGTAGAGTATGACCATCCCAAGGGCACAATCAAGCCTCTATTAAAATTAATAACCCTACCCGTCGTGTTCCCGATGGTAATATCTGCTTTTTTGCTGTGCTCGACAAAAAAAAAAACCCAGTACTTTACTGAAGAAAACTGGGGCATGTGGCCAATCCCCATAAATGTGAATTTTAACAGGGGAACCCTGCCAAAAACGTGTATTTTACATGCCGTAACGCGATTTTTAATGGGGACCCTCCTCGAAGTGCCATTGGGCTAGTTTTGAATAGCAAATGGGCAGGTTTTGTTGTGAAAACCTCGCAACTCTGAGACACTCACTTACTGTAGAGACCTACATTAGGGATGGGCGATACCACTTATTTTATTTTCGATACCGATATTTTTCAAGGCAGTATCGTCGATATCGATACCGATACGATACTTCTGAACTAAACTTTTAAATTATGAAATTTATTAAATTACTAAGAGTAAAATGGGTAATGATAACCACTTAACTTTGTTTAAAACACATTTTAACATTCAATACGCCTTAATTGTAACTTATTAGGTTATCTTTTTGCTTACGCATGGTTCAAATATGTTTTTTGTTTACACATGATTCAAATCTATAAATACTACAGTTGAACTATGGTCACTTTAGTAAAACCATGGTTCATTTTCAGAAGGGACTGCCAGTGTAATTAACATTACAGAATAGAACATGATCAATATTATCTTTCAACGTTCAATTTCAATAAATGTAATTAAACAAATTGAAATTACCCTGCATAGTTTGTGCAATGTGAAATAACTCAAACATACATGTTTTTTTTTCTTCTGTCCTCTGATAAGCATTGTTCAGGGCTGCCGTTCCCAAAAGCTTTAATGCTTTCTTATGATACTTTTGGGAAACGCAGCCCTGTTTGAATGCAGCCCTGTGAGTGAATCTCTGTGATGGACTGGTTCTGACTTGCAACATTTGCGTGTTCAGATGAGCAGGAAAATAGTTCTGTCCTACACAATTATTTACTAACATAGATTATTCGTTCAATTAAATGCCTTATTTTTTTTGTTAAATAAACAAAATCACTGGTAAATAAAACACGCCTTAGTATCGATATTTATTGTTTGAGTACCGATACTTTCGATACTCGCATCAGTATCGATATATCGATACTTCGGATCGATACGCCCATCCCTAACCTACATCCCCAACAGAATTCCCGAGAGAGGCTGTGCGTTCTTAGATAAGGTGACCAGATATTAAAACCGGGGACATTTCCTAGTTCAGTCAGTGGTCAAAATATCACTGAAATCTAACTTGTGATTATCTACGAATCAAAAGACGGGGATATATATTTTTTTCATTGTTGTGGGTTCCATGTATCAATTCAGGTTGCAGTTATCCTGCGATAATTATTGCCTGACTGTATATTAAAACATATTTAATGCTTCATGTACATTCAAAAGAGGCTGAAATGTTTTTAATAAAAAGTCATTTTTGAATCTACATGAACTACTGACGCGCTACTGGAAGTGAAGTATGTTTCACGAATAACCAGATGAGCGATACATTTGATGTTCATAGAACTGTACCATTTATTATTGTACACACACTGGGTTCGACCCTTCTCAATGCGACTAAAGATGACATGGAATGTTACAGTAAGATCTTGCATAAAACCCATTGCTGTTGAGAAAATTTCACAAAAAAAGACCACCCTTCATGTATTTATGATTTTTCGTTCTTTCTTTTTAAATGATTTTTGGATTTGATTTTCAATCCAAATGCGTAATTCTTAATTACATGTTTAACACGATCACCAAACACTGTACATTAACTCCAAAGGCCCCCCCCTTGGGGGTTTAACCAAAAACCCATAAAAACAACAAACACTGCAAATTTAACGTAGCAGTTAATACATCGTTAAAGTCGGCCAATCAGAGTCTACCGTCAGCTCGTATTAGAAGAAGCTTTGAACGATGGGATTTGGAGCTGTCAATCAACAGTTACCATGACGATGGGGGTGAACCATCCTCGCGCCAGCGTATGAAACAGTCACATTCATGTTTGCGGTGGAATAAAAACGTTCAGTCACGATTCGCCATTCTGCACTTTGGAGACGGGCGGTTGCATGAAGTCTTTGAAGGGCCCCAGGGCGTCTTTGAGGGCGGAGCTTACTTCAGGAGACGAGCAGGTGATGCACTCCACCAGCGTCGGGTACAGCGCGATCACCTGAGCCCACACGTTCCCGTCCACTGACACCCGGACAGGAAGAGGAAGAAGACAGAAATGAGCAAAAACAAGGATGCAAAACTGGGACCTGCCTATGAGATGAACACAGTGCTGTCTAGGTAGGCAATGGAATATTCCAGCAATACGTTTTCACATTTAGGAGTTTGTCATCATGGCTGCTTTCAAATCATCAAAATGTTGAAGGACAAACCCGTCTCACCGTTCTCTGGTTGAGTCTTTTTCAAGGAATCCATGAGAGTGCTGATGGCTTTTAACACAAAGATGATCTCAGTCACTTGTTGCCTTGAAGATAAAAAAGAAATGGTGAGAAACACTTAGAATCAAGTTCTGTGCAGTTTAGTTAGTAAAGTCCACTTAGAAACAGACAGAAAATACAGTGAAAGCGAATTCAGTGAGTATGTCCAGCTCATATTTCATCCCAATATCCAAATTTAAAAAATAAGAAATTATATTTTACAAAAAAAAAAAAAATTAAAGCTCATCTTTAGATCTGTATTGATACTGCAATTAATATATCTATATCATTTTTGCAAGAAGTTTGTTTAGCAACCAGCAACAGAGTGAAAGTGAACTTGGTGAATATGTCCAGCTCATATCCACCCCACCCCCAAAAAAATATTTAGAATAAAAAAGTCTATCTTTAGAAATATTTATTATATTTAAAAAAAAAAATTCGAAATAATAATTTCGAATTTGATTTAATTTTTTCGGGGAGCTGAAAAACATGAGTCTGTTGAGGTTAGCAGACCTGGGCAGCGGGCAGCGTCCACCGAGTCTCTCGTCCTCCACGTATCGTCGGAGCACGTCCTGCGCCCTCTGCAGCAGCACTGACAGCGCCATACGAGAGATGTAGCCCTCCTGCGGCGTCGACACCTTATTACTGAAGGAGAACTGCAGGAGCGTCTCAAAGCACACCTTCGAGAACTCCTCCCGCATACGCATGTCCATTTCAGCCTCTGCACGAGACGAGAGGGGACCATTAGAGTGTCTTCATACTACAGTACCAGAGGTATTCTCTATTTAATGCCGTTAATCTCGTTCTGTTCCTCACTGGAAGCTTTCATGTGACTTCAGAAGTAATGGAGTATATATCGCACAAGTCTAATGGATCACTTTATGCAAGAACATTTGTGACCCTGGAGCACAAAACCAGTCATAAGGGTCAATTTTTTGAAATTGAGATTGATACATCATCTGATAGGACAATATTTGGTCGAGATACAACTATTTGAAAATCTAAATATTGAGAAAATCATCTTTAAAGTTGTCCAAATTAAGTTCTTAGCAATGCATATTACTAATCAAAAATGAAGTTTTGATATATTTACGGTAAGAAATTTACAAAATTTCTTCATGGAACATGATCTTTACTTAATATCCTAATGATTTTTGCCATAAAAGAAAAATGTATAATTTTGACCCATACAATGTATTGTTGGCTATTGCTACAAATATAACCGTGCTACTTATGACTGCTTTTGTGCTGCAGGGTCACATTTGGTCTAAAATCATCTTTTGAGTGTGTACATGACAAAATCTTCATTTGTTGAGTCGACTATCGCTTTAGGAACAGTGTTCACATTGTGAATCAGATGAAAATGGTTGTTTTTCCCTTTTGTTTTCACTCCATACCTGTGAACGTTGATGACTGGGAGTGAATCGATCCTTTATTGAGCATGCTCATGATACGACCTACGAACTCTTTGGGTATGAAATTGGCAAATGGTAAAATCTCTGAGCTGATCAACTGCACCACCTAAAGGGGAAAAAACAATATATATATTTAAAATATATTCAATATAAATATATTAAATATAGTAAAATAAAATATACACATATTATTAATATAATATAAATAATATATTATTATTATTATACATAACAAATAGTTACAGTAGTAGTTTATTGTATCAATATATTAAATATATTTAATAAATTATGTATACAATATAGTTAAATAAAATGTTTTCATTTTCTAAAAATATCTATTTATATTTTTTAATTGTTTTGTGTGTATATATACACACATACACACATTAAAAAAAAAATATATCATTATCGAAATCATAAAATTAGTCTCATCATAAAATCTCCAAATATCAGTCTCACAGATATATTGGCCTGCCACTAAAAGATATTAGTCATAATAATAAATCTAGCTTAAATAGAGTTTATTCAAATAATCCTTTTGGAATTCCAACTCTGGAACTATGTGTTCGTTTCAAATTTGGCTGTGTGGATCTACTGTCAGATGAAATGACCTCGACATCTACAGCTTCGTTCCTCTGGAACTCTTGTATGGACAGATTATCTGGAGGTGTGCTGTGGGATACAAGAGGAAAATGAGTAAGAATGGATCTGAAATCACTGATTTCTTTTAATATATCATGATAGGTTGGACACCTTTTGGTAAACAGGAAGTCTTCAAAGGCGTTCGCCAGCTCTGGCCACATCGTGTCAAATTTGCCTGAGGATGCTTGTTGCCGGGCAACAGGGAGTCCAATGGAAAGCACTTTGAGCAGAGAGGAGACGGCCAGATTCCAGGTGCTCTCAGCAGGACAGGCGTACTTCAGACCCAGAGGAATCCTCAGAGTCTAAATACAGAGAAACAGAGAGGATTGATTCTGCTCAGTGCGCACTAGGGGTTGAACGACCTCTGATTTTTTTAAAGTCGACTTTTATGTGATGAAAGTCATTAATGAACAAATAAGTCTGGAGCTGAGACTCGAACATCTTGTGCACAGCTATGGCATATGACACAGCGCTGCCCACATGACTATTGCTGCTAGAACAGCTCATTTTTAACAGTTCTTTTGTCTTTAGGTCGTTATATTTCTCTCAGATTTCTGCTCGTTCTAAATCAGATACAGATAAAGTAGCACAGTAAAGATTACATTAATATGAATGCATTAGTGAGAGCGATTGCGTGTGAATTAATTCTACCTGGCAACGTCTCTCTACTAGAAGTGAAGCTGTGGGATTTGGTTATTAAGAAATAAATGCTTGAACTTTTCAGTTTCTAAGCTATTTTACTGAGAAATCACAGAACAGTGTTGACAACACATTTCCGCGCTGAATGATTCTGTGCTCGCGGTCTGCGCGTGATGTACGCGCTACTGTCTGTAGCCTATGTGTGTGCGTTACAGTGCAGCAGCGCATTAGATTAGAACAGCGATTAATTTACCTGCACAATAAGCTGTTTAAAACGTGCATTCTCCCGTTCAATTTCGAGCATCCAGTAATATAATCACACAGGTCTTGTGGAGCGCTTTCAGAGTATGCATTTATTTGTCAT